TCTCAATAATAAATAAATGTTAAAAACAAAAAAGAGAGAGATTGACAGTGTAAAACTCATTACCACAAAAAGTAGTAGAAGCTGAATATACACAGATGAATTCTGAATGACTGAACTGCAAAGGAAGGAAAGCATACTGTTCAGAAGACATAACCCAACCCTTCTCCAGGAAGCATGCTTTATCAGGAAGTTGAACTTAGCTAAGTACTACAACACATTGGTATTAGAGAGACAACTATGATGTTCTAAAACTGTCATTTGGTTGGCCAAGTCATAGACAGAATCTTGGGCTAGGTAAAGCACAAGACAGAACCTCCAAAGAAAAATTTTCCAGAGAATGTTCTCTTGGTTAGAGATGATGATAAAGTCACTTTTCCCCTTTCCCCATCTCATCTAACTTCAGGAACCTGGATCTTGTTGCTATAGGCACAAATATTCTGCCAGGTCAGTTTGGTTTTGGTCTACATAGCTCTGTGTCTCCTCAAGCCTGGCAATTTTGTGTTGTCAGATGGCCTTTTCTCTTCCCTCTGTCTTCAAGGACATGATGCCCTTTTCATCAGGATCATCCACACAGTGATGAGGTAGGGAGCACCCATTGCTTAATTTTTCTCCAAGCCATCCTTATTCATGCAGCAAGGACTCTGAGTGGTCACAGAGGCGGTGACCCCTCGTAACTCACAAAGCTTAGTTTCTAGGTTCACACTTAGAGATGGGCTTCCCTATTCCTGCAAGGCTACCAGAATGCCATGCCAGGATGCTATCAGTTTTCTACAAAGACACCTTCATTTTGAGGAGCATGAACTGGGGAGGCCCAAATAACCTAGATGCCACTAGGTAACATAATCACTAGTTAGCAAGCACCCAGAATATGCTGGTCTAGCATTTGGCACTATGCATGCTTGAGTAAATCTGAATGTCTTCAGGATTCCATATTCAAGAGGTAACAATGAGATGAAAGGCAGTGTGTCATATAGAGGCATTGGTTGGCCAGCTGATCTTGATAAAGTAATCTCTCTTCTGTGGGCCTGGTTTCCTCACCTGCAAAAGGATAGAGATAGTCTCCAAGACCCCTTCCAGTTCTACCATTCTATGATTCTGTGAGTCAAGACATTAAAAGTGTATCCAGAATGTATTATTAATTCAGTAACATTTATTGACCACCTAGGTTATGTAAGGCCTAGCAGAGGGCACTGTGGGGGCTACAAAGACATAGGAGATAGTCCCTGACACTGAAAGAGCTCAAAGTGCAATAATCATAGAATTTAGAAATCTAACAAATGTCATATGATTATGTGTTAAATGAGCAGTATATACAATTAGTCCTACAAATGCACTAATTACTAGAAAGGTTTCATGAAGGAAGATGCAAGAAGGGACTTGAAAGAGTGGTAAAATTTGGATAGGCTAGAAGTGGGTCAATTACTAAGCAAAGTTACAAAGCTTTTTTCAGTTCATCCAGTTCAATGACTCCTCTGTACAACAGAAGCAACTATAAGGGTCAGTCCAACAGGGTTTGATAGTGCCTTGATACAATTTCCTCTACATACGTCACAATGAGGCATAAGCACTGACCATAGCAGCAAATTGCTTTTACTTCAGGGGTCAAAAGTCACATAGTCATTCTTGCCATAGAGAAGTATGGTACCTTGACCCCACCAGTGATCTGGGCACAAAGTTAAAAGAGATAGCTAGGAAGCCAAGCCCAGAAAACAGTGCACTTGGTCCTTCCCCCAAGCTTTATCAGGAAGTTGAATTTGACTACATACCACAACAGTCTTTGAGTAGCAGGACACCTCACAGTTGTCAGTGTCATTCTGCTATAATGTCCTGACATTACCAGCCAAGCTGGTGGCTACATGTTCTCACAAGCTGGACAGGGTTTGGCCAGAAAAGACTGAGAATGGCTCATGTGGTCAAAGCTAAAACTGGCATATACATGCACAGTATATTTCCTAAATACCTCACCCTAAAAATAAATTAGGAAATCCTTTTCTTAAGCACTGCACAATTTTCACTCTGCCTTTAAAGTCAATACTTTTACCATAGATACAATTACATTTAAATATGTAAACGTATTTAAATACAGCTACCTACCTACCTATCTATCCTTTCCTTTTCGTGTGTGAATCTTCCAGACAAACACAACAGTTATGCAGAATTTCAAACTCTCAGAGTTGCAAGAGGCTCAGTGATAATGTACCCCAATTTCCCATCCTGGGAGGAGTCAACTTTGTGACAGCATCCCTGAGAGATGGCCATCCAGTATCTTTGGAAACATAACAACACAGAGCTAACTAGCTCCTGGATGGACAACCTTCATTCATTTTATGTATTCAACCTACTGTCTGTCCTGTGAAAATCACAGGCCCCTCCTTTGAGAAGTCTAAACATGTAAAAGCAAAATCCAAAAATAAAAAGATATCCACTGGCACTACTAATATTGCATGTTTTTCATCAAGGGGTGCCCACATGCCTGACCAGATTTCTCAAGCCATCTGGCTGACCCAGGGCTGTGTCATGGGAGGCTATAAATCAACTTGCACTTGTCCCTAAGCATCTACTGCAAGCAAGACCCAGTTACTAAAATGCAGGTCCAGATGTGCAGCAAGATCTAGAATTCCTCTTCATTGGTGGTTCAGACACCCTCACCAGCCTCAAGGCAGGAGACTACATTAGCTGATTTCCTGAGGTCTCCCTAATGTTCTAATACTAACTAAGGGGCCCATATTATGATCCCCATATCCCATCCCCCACTGTGTGTTTGGTAGTGAATTATATACTACAAAGCAAATGGTCAACCAGAAAAAGATTTCATTTCTGAGGCATGCTGGTGTCCTTTGTACAGCCTGTCACTGGCTAGGCATAAAGCAACTACCACCCAGAGTGTCTGTGTGCCTTACATGACAGACACACATGGACAAACACACACACACATGCACACACACACACGCACACACCCACATGCACACAGATTCTACCACTCTCAGTAAAAATGATTCATTGCCAGAGTCCTCTCCCTTTTGGTCAGATTTATGCTTCCCCATTCCACTCATTAGCTAACACATTTACTTCCTTCTCTCTTCTTCCCTTCCTCCTCCTTCCCCCAGCCTTACACTAAAAAAATATTTACTCTATCACACAGACAGCTGGAACTCAATGCAGTTTACAAACAACCTCAGCCTTCATATCTGAGGGCAAAGCACAAGGAGTAACTTGGGGGAAAAAAGTCATCTTGGTAGAAAACTTAACCTGCCTCTGTCAAACAGTAACTTAGCTAATTATAAGCTACATCCCACAGGCAGTTTTGTTCAGAGGCCTTTGGGGCCTAAGTGGGACAGATCCAAATCAGACTCTGTCTGGATCCCATATACAAAAAAGGCCAAACACCAATAGCTCCAAATTTCAAGTTCCCCTGGACAGTCAAACCAGAGGTTTTCTGGGCCCAGAATTACCAGCTCACTCAGGGCCTAGAAACAAATCTCATCTCTGTTTTAAATGGTTCCAACCACAAAAATTTAACTCTAAGATGGAGGGGAGTGGCAGCAAAAAGAGCTAGTGATTCAGCAGGGGAAGGAATGAAAGAGAGGGAGAATGATAGAAAGCAGAGTTCAGCTCTACACTTCCAAAAAGAAGCAAGGCAGGAATAAAGCAAAAAAAAAAAAAAAATTTGGAGAGAAGGGTGAAAGGGGAAAGCATTTTATTAGTGGTACATGTATGCCTGCCTGTTGCACATGCTCACTTGTACCACACACAAGTACACACATACACACACACCACCATAAACCTAAGACTGGAAAGCAACTAAGAAGCCATTACCAGCCTGACTTCGCCAAATACTTCACAAAGTCAGTAGCAAAGGCAGTAGCAAAAGTGCCTTTGACAAAGAGCTTCTCTGACCTTCCTTTTGTAGCCGTGTTATAAACTTCCCCCCATCCCCGCCACTGTTACTCAAGCCAGCTACAACCATCAAAACGTCTAGCAAAACAGCCTGAAAAATCACTCTTGATGCACTGGGAAAGCTTGGAGCCCTTACAGAAGACGGACAAGAAGAGCTCCAAGCGACCAGAGCTCATTTTGATTACCTGCAAAGTCTGGCCAAGGAGCCCCCTCCTCCCTCCCATGGCCACACCTCAGCATGAGAGCTCTGGGGTCACAGAAGTGCCAGAACTACAGCAGGCTCATATTAGGTGTGGCTCACAGTCTATACACACACCTCTTGGCTCCTCAAGGCCCTCCTCATAATAATCCCAAACCAATTAGCATTGCTCCCCTCCCTAGAGTATACAGCATTCTCAGCATACCCAGTAGTCGTGCTACAGTACCCTAGAATCCAACTGGACACCTCCCTCGAGCAGTGACCTATACAGGCTTCAAACGGTGGCTCTAGTACCAGCTATTATATCACAGAAAAAAACAACTCCAAAGCTGGCATCAGGCACACATGGAATACAGAGTTGTTTATGCTGAGTGATCTTGAGGGAAACTCACATTTAAAAAGCACATATGTGCCACACATGTAGCTGAGGCTGGAACCGATCTGAAGATTCCCAGTTCAGTTGGCTTTTCAATTTAAGAGCTAGGAGAAGTGAGCCCTATAGAAATAGCACCTGGAATAACAGAATAGGTGAGTTTTGTAGTATAGAATTATGACCATGAGGGCTGCCCGTAGGCCCAAGAGGGGCAGGGAAGAGGGAGTCTGTCACTAAACACCTAAGGAGACCACTGAAAAGGAGAGGTGAATAACAAAGACAAATTCCTTTATTTCCCAAGTGTGCCAAGGGTAGCCCCAAATCTGTGCCATAAAATTGGTTTCTTGGTTTTTTCAGGAAGCACATACCCTATTACAAGCACAAAGAAATGAACTTAGTTGGCATGATCTATAGACATTGCTCAAGAGGATAGTGATAGCCAAGGACCATCCACAAACTCCCCAGAAAGAAGGTTCTTCCCCTGGACCCAAAGTAACCATAATCAGGCAACTCTACTCAATCGAAACTCACTCGAAGGCGAAGAAGAGTGTACATGTCCCCAAGATGAGGAAGAGGGTCAAATAGAAGATGCCCTTTTGCCGGGCCATCATGACTCGACCATCACAGCAGAAGGTGTTCCTGCCTGGGAGTTTCTCCCATTTCCGTGTCACCTTCTTTCTCACCACCATCACAGACATGATTGGAATTCCTGGTCCAAAATGGGCTTTGTGATTACAAGAGGGAAGAAACAGAAGCTGAGCCCAGCTTTGAAATCACGATGCCTGCTATTGCTGCCACGAGGTCAAACATCATCAAAAGTCCAATTTCTAGTCCTAAGAGAAAGCACAAAAAGAAAAATATGAGGCAGTAACAAGAAAATGCAGTTCAATCCTCCTTTACCAGAGGTGGAAAATGAGCACTGCCTGAAAGTGTAGGGGTAGGGAAGTGGGAAAAGTTTATTTTCAATCTGTGTGTATCCTCTAAAAGGAGAAATGGCTAAAGGTTCTTTAAAAAAAGGGGGGGGTTACCATGTCTTCTTACTATGGATTTAATAATTCCTGTACTTCCAATATACTACTGACGATTTGATCATCACAGAACCTTGGAACTAGAAAGGATTTTTAGGGTAATGGCCACAATTACTTTGTTTTGGAAACGAGTAAAGACCAGAGAGAGGAAATAACTTGTCCAGGGTCACACAGCTACAAAACTAAGCCAAGAAAACATGTCTGCTTACTTTCAGGCCAGGGCATTTTTCACTATACCACACTGTTCTATAATCATCAGCAAGAAGACTCTCGAAATCATAGTAGAGTTTCTGTCCTTAAGGAGCCATTCCCTCCCCTCCTCCACTTCACCTTCTTTCTTCAATTAGCCACTCAAATATGAATCACACCAGGGAACAAGTCACCCTCTGGCAGGGCTAGGAAGTTCTGGACACTCTGTATACATATCCAGGTTGTATTTACTCGAAACAGATTTCCTCTAATCAAACCTCTGTAACTTCCTGAGTCTGGGAAATGAACCAATCTTGCTAGTCTAGCCTAACATTTGCGGGAATCTTAATGAAACCACATTACAGACCTGTAGGTGAAAGGCTGACTTAAGCAGGAGAGTTCTGGAATGGTTGGGGGTGGCGGTGGGTGGATATGTCAGCATCTAAGAAAAGTCATAAAGGTGCTTGCTTTCTGGGACATTCCATATGTACTATCTCCACTTGGCATCCTGAACCCCCAGGCCCAGGCTTTCTCGTCCACTGCCACCCTTCTCCTCCTCTCAGGTGTTGTGTTGTGGCCTCTACTGACACCACATGCCCCACGCTGGCAAGAATGAGGTGGAAGCCTGCAGCCTGCCTTACTGATGAGAAACAACCAACCCGAAATCATTCCGGGCTGGAGAGGTCAAGGGTCCAAACAGAGACTAGGAGATGAGCAGGGAAATGAGAAAGCAAGAAGGCTTGACGAAGGGGAGGGAGCACCAGAGGGGCAGAGAACACTTCCTTTGTGTAAAACTAACCTGGAAAACAATCTCCTCCAGATAAACCGGCCCAGCGGGAGAAGGGAGACCAGGAAGGGGAGCCGGGCCTGGGAGAACAAAGATCAAAATCCGTCAAGAGCCAGCGACCGGCCCACCAGCCGGGGGCCCGAGGCCCGAGGCCCGGGCGGCCGGCGGGCGCGGCCTCGGGAGGTCAGCTCTGCCTCTGCCACGCAGCAGACCACCGCCCCAGGCAGGTTGGGACGCGCGCCACCTCGCCACGCTCGTACACACTCACACACGCCCCGCCACGTGTAGTCAGCCGCGGCCAGGGGCTCAGCGGCTGCCCAGCTGAGAAGGGCAGTGCCAACGTCCGCGCGGCCGGTCGCAGCCGAGGGGCTGGCAGCCCACCATGCGGCCGAGCCCAAGAGACCCCAACCCCCACCCCTCATTACCTGAACCCGGGAGAACGAACTCGGCGGGGTACTGAGGGCAGGAAGTGGACTGTCCCAGGGGACCGCGTCAGCCGCCAGAGGTGGCAGCGACTTCTCCTCCCCAGTGTGGAGGCTGCCTCCTCCTGACAAGGGGCCCCAATGGTCGGGGCCCTAAACCAGCTGTGGCTACCGCCCACCGCTGGCCGAATGGAACGCTCCTCACGTCACCAGGTCGTTCCAGTAGTTGCTCGCCCTCCATTGGCTGCTCGGCTTCGGCGCCTCCGCCCCTACCACCCCTGCCCCGAACTACCATTGGTTACCCCGAACGCCACTCGATGCTGTCTCCGCCCCAGTCCCCCACCCATCTCCCGGCTTCGTGCCCACCTGCCAAGCCACTGCCAGGCTCCCTTTAGGGTCCGAGGGCCCATGTGAGAAGCGTCACTTTCTCCTGATATAGTTACGCAGACACGGAGGTGAAGGGTATTGCTGATGGGACAAGGAGAGACAGGGGTACCAGCCTCCTCTCACACACGCGGTGAGACGCTGAAGCAGCACTGGCTCACAGATCCGGGTGCTCAGCCTATAGTAGGTCCGCCCTGGGCCTTTTCGGTCCTACTTGCATGAAACCAACCGCAACCCGGGATTTTCCTCGTTATTGGCATAAAGACAAGTCCTCGGCCTCCCAAATCCCATTCAGTAGTTAGGGACCTCACTTCTGTCCCAGCACCCTGACTTTTGGAAGAAAACACACATAAAAAGGCACTTGAAAGAGATACCTGTCCCCAGGAACATAGAATCATTTTTGCAGTACCGAAAACCAATAATTGACGAAGTTAGGAAGACTCTACTGACAGGACTTAAATTCTTCCAGGTAGGTAATGAGGTAACATTGCCAAGAAGGTTGTAAATTACTGTTCGCTTTGTAGAGCTTATGATAATTGAGGAGGGCGGGGATCCAAGGCAGAATCCCCACCCACCAACCACATTGATTTTTTTCCTTCTGCCACCCTCCCCTCTGCTGTTACTACCACAATGAACCACTGCTACTGATCCGAATGAGTCGCATCCTTTAGAAGTTTGAGATTGGAGTGGGAAAAACAGTTGAGAACCAGGGCATTAATATTATACAGCGGACTTTAAAAGGCATTAGGTCTGTATTCACTAGTATGGCTCTTGGCTTCCAAACAGAGGAAATAGGAGAAAGGGCTGAAGGTGGCCTCTCCTTACTCGTCACACTGTCGGGGACAATGCCTAGGTTGCTAGCCATTTTCCTGAGCTTGAATAAAGTTTCTCTAGGGTGAGAGTATTTGCAATTAGTACACAGGAGACTGCCAAAGCTCTTCTCAAGGCAGACTTTTGGTGTGTTAGTTGAAGGACCATGTACTTGGTCAGGAACTATTTCCCCTTTACAGTATTTGGGTCCCACATCATATGAAGAACAAAAGCTATCTAATGATAATTACATTTGACACTTTCATGGCACCACCCTTCAATCAAAAACTTGGGGCGCCTGGGTGGCTTAGTCGGTTAAGCGTCCGACTTTCGCTTAGGTCATGATCTCGCGGTTCGTGGGTTCGAGCCCCGCGTCGGGCTCTGTGCTGACTGCCAGCTGGGAGCCTGGAGCCTGTTTCAGTCTGTGACTCCCTCTCTCTCTCTGACCCTCCCCTGCTCATGCTCTCTCTCTCTCTCCTAGAAATAAATTTAAAAAATTTAAAAAAAAAACTTAAAAGGATTAAAAAATCGCTAGGTAATTCTCTTATGAGAGAGATGTATCATTAATTTGTAGGGTAAAGTATGGGTCCTTATAAAGCTTCTATTGTTCCTTAGCACTCATGCTGATTATAATCACTGCTTTATTCCTTAAGCTGTATGGTCTATCATTGCCTCCATTTCTCCCCTTCGAATCCTGGAAGGTGCTGGTATTGCACACACTTGGCTATGGAAGGGAGAGGAACTTCTCTCAGCCCCATCAGACCTCTGGATTCCCAAGCCTGTGTCCACTAGGTGCCCTTAGTGATAGCATGTTTGCCCCAACTGCCATCCCCCTGACTGTGGAGCAGTCAAAAATAAATCTCTGCAGCTTCCAAACATAGTTTGTCCATATCTCAGGTGCAGGTGAAGCCCAGGGAGTCCTGGAATCGATGTGTCACAGCAGTGCATTCCTGGGCTCTGCCCCTCCCTGCTCTGGGTCACGTCCCTCTGGGATTAAGTGGCTGTGAAGGTCAGGGTTGTTTTATTACAATCTGTTATTACTTGCGTTTACCACTACAAGAAAAATAAGGAAGATTTATATAGACAAACATTCTGTAGCACTTCCTTCTATGTAATTACATCATTTTATATAATCCTGAAAATCTTAATGCACACACACAACTAAATTGTGACTATAAAATGAGATTGTTCCTTTTCTCTTCTCAACAAACCTCCCAGACTTTATGTATCCAAATGAGTGTTGGTTCCTTTGAAGGGGAGTTACAGCCATGGGATGGGCACTAAAAACACCACTGGAATAAAGGCATCAGCTTCCATTGTGTGGTATACATTTTGGTGTGCTTGTTTAAAAATATCTGTCTCCATGGGGTGTTTGGGTGGCTCAGTAGGTTAAGCGTCCAACTTTGGCTCAGGTAATGATCTTGAGGCCCAGGAGTTTGAGCCCTGTGTCAGGCTCTGTAGTGACAGCTCAGAGCCTGGAGCCTGCTTCCAATTCTGTGTCTCCCTCTCTCTCAGCCCTTTCCCTGCTGGCACTCTGTCTCTCTCTCTCAAAAATAAATAAACATTTAAAAAATCTGTCTCCATATTTATGGTTCCTGTGTTAGTGTGTGTTTGTGGATGTGTAGGTATGAAGTTCTCAGTGCTGCCAGTGGGTTGCAGCTTGCCCGTTAGTGTTCCTCAAGGTATTTCTTCGGCAAACACCCAAATACCCATTTAGTACTGCATGCAAGAACAGAACTCCCAAATCAGCCCCCATCCTTCATTCGAGTTCCTGATGACCCTTTTCTTTTTCTCTATTTTCTCAAGTTGTGACCCCCCTATGTTCCCTTGCCCTCCTTCCCACCCCACCTACCTGACCTGCAATCCTCTCCTGACTTTCTGGCTATAAATAAATATATATTTGTAGAATGAGTTGATGAGCAAAAGAAAGAACCACAGAATGCCCTGCCCACATGTAACCAACTAGTTCTTAGCCAACAGCTATTTCCCTGAGGCCAGGGCTACTATCACTAATATGGAAGAGGCAGAATGGTGTGTATAGCAGAAACCACAAAAGCTTTATCGCCAGATAAACCTAGGTTCAAATCCTGGCTCTTAGTAGATTGTATAAACTTCTGTAAAACAGAGGTGCCTTGTTGGCTCAATCAGTTGGGCAATCAACTCTTCATTTTGGCTCAGGTCATGATCTCATGGTTCGTGGAATTGAACCACTTCAGCCTCTATGCTGACAGCATGGAACCTGCTTGGGATTCTCTCTCTTCCTCTGTCTCTATCTCCCTTAAAAATAAATGAACATTAAAAAAAAAAACTCCTGTAAAATAGTTAATGCCTACTTCATAGAGTTATAAAGGAGATTAGCGATAATGTGTATTAAGTGTCTGGCATATAGGAGAAACACAATCAATGCTGTATGTTATGATGACATCTATATGTAACTAACCTCTCTCACCTCCTTCCTTTATCTACGCTGCTGACTAGGGGATAGAAAGGTCAAAAGAAGGAAACCCATGCTTCACTTTGTTGAACCTGTATCATCCATGTGCCTCCATGATTTCATAGCCTCTAAATTTGTCACTGAAGTTAATCCTTACCTGGCTGACCTCTTGGTTCCCCTATCACAGGGACACCCCACTCTCTGATTAGGAAAAGCCTGGACAGTAATCTTGTCCTAGTCAAATGGCTGTTCTCTAGCACCATTGTCCTCACCTGTTAAGTGAATCCTCAACATTGCTGCCACATTGTCTATTGCAACAGGTGAGAGATCAGTGGAATCTCTTTCATTACACACCTCCTATATTCATAGCACTGTGCTGGGATTATTGGCTCCTGTCAGAGACTGAAAAACACCTTTAAGATGCCACTGTGTGAAAGCCAAACATACAGAAAACCCAATAAAAAATACCTGGGGTGGCAGGAAAGGTGATATTACAATGTAAGTGAACTGCTCAAACCGAGCCTTTGTTTCTGTCTCTGATACCTGTCTGCTCCTGCTGGTTCTCAATTTTGTGTCATCTCTAGTCTGTGGATTTATGGCTCCACCCTGAATGGTTTTAGGTGTTGTGCTTAAGCCCTCAACACTTGCCCTAAGACCACTCACTCACCAATAAATACCATTTATTGAGGACCTCTTATTAGCCAGGGATTATGGTAGGTGCTTATATAAATGAGGTTCCTAGACTGCAGTCTAAACTTGATATCCAAGTAAGAACATCTGATACTGACCAGGCACAACCCTAGTCTCTAACTCTACCCAGCCCTCTCATTCCAGGAGCTGACCTCAAGGTATTTTGTTGCCCAATATATAAACTGGTTTATCATTTAATCATTAAGAATGTATTGAGCACCGACAGTTTACCCAGCCTGTACTAAGCACTATAGGAAATACCAAAGAAGTATATGACATGATCCCAGCCTCTAAAGAACCTGAAATATTCAAATACAGAAAAGACCAGCTCATGTGAAGTCATTAAATATAAATGAAAAACAGTGCAGAGTCCCATTCTCAACTATGAACAGTAGAGTCTCCAACCTTTTTTTCTTGTGTGTGTGTGTGTGTGTGTGAGAGAGAGAGAGAGAGAGAGCAGGGGAGGGGCAGAGAGAGAGAGAGACACAGAATCTGAAGCAGGATCCAAGCTCTGAGCTGTCAGCACAGAGGACATGGGGCCCAAACCCACAAACTATGAGATCATGACCTGAGCCGAAGTCGGATGCTTAACCAACTGAGCCACCCAGGTGCCCCACCAACCTTTTAAAAAAATGTTTATTTATTTGAGGGGAGCCCATGTGGGGGGACAGAGAGAAGGGGACAGAGGACACAGCGGGCTCTGTGCTGATAGATTGACAGCAGCAAGCCAGATGTGGGAGCTGAAATCGTGAACTGTATGACCTGAGCCAAAGTCAGATGCTCAATCGACTGAGCCACCCAGGTGTCCAGAGTCTCCAACCTTTTAAGAGCTTGCCTAGGGGTGCCTGCATGGGTAAA